GGGGGGGGGGGGGGTGAGAAGAGATTAATATAAAAAGATGAATACTGATTGATCAAAACTGCATCTGAGGAGGAGCGGTTTTGTTCAAACCAGAAAAGTCCTCATTTTAATCTCAAGCATAATAAGCATCTGAAATGATGAAAGCATGTGGGAAAAAAAAACCCAAATGCTTCTGAGCAGGAGGGAAAGCTTTTTTATTATACCTCTATCTTAGCCAGTACGCCTCGCTTTGCCTTTTCAGGCCCGAGACCTTTGAATCACCCAACAAAACCGGGCACTATTGATCCATTTTACACGTTTGAGTTGATAGACCTAATCCCAGTGATCGCCGGCTGAAAGGGGGGTGCTTAGTTAAGCCTAAAGCTCCTTCTCATGGCCCCAGGTTGATGCATGCCCACGCGAAGGGCAGGGAGGGGTCATACGAGGGGCCTGGCCCACTCCTCTCTCCCCTGTGCGTCCCCCCCCACAGCTGCCTCCACCGTGGTCCCCATCCCTGGCACCTTCTCCTGGCCGCTGGCTGCCCGCGGCAAGCCCCGCCGCGGGATGCTGCGCCGCGCTGTCTTCTCCGACGTGCAGCGCAAGGCACTGGAGAAGATGTTCCAGGAGCAGAAGTACCTCAGCAAACTTGAAGTTGGCAGCCAAGCTGGGCCTCAAGGACTCGCAGGTGAGAAGGGGCACAGGGTGGGGAGAGCGGAAGGGCCACAGGGAGCTGGGACCCCAATGCTGTCGGCAGCTTGGGGACAGGGGAGGAAAAGGGGACAGGAGCAGAGAGAAGTTCTGACAAGTGGGAGAAAGCCTAAAGCAAGTTACAGGGCCCTGAGCATCAATGGAGCCAAGACAGTGGCACGATTCCCAGCTAGATGAGTAGGACAGGACAGACCACAGCCTTATTGTCCCCAACCCCTCTCCTAGGGTCCCCAGTGCTCAGGTTTTGTGGTTCCTGTTCGCTTCAGTACAGGCATGAGCAGGATTTTGAGGGTGCAACCAAAAAGGCCTTTCCTGGTACCCTTTTTACTGAACCATTTAATTTCTGTGTTTCTTCGCCCCCAGGTGAAGATCTGGTTCCAGAACAGGAGGATGAAGTGGAGAAACTCCAAAGAAAGAGAGCTCCTCTCTTCTGGTGGCTGCAGAGAACAGACCCTACCCACCAAGTTCAACCCGCACCCAGACCTCAGTGACGTAGGCAAGAAATGTTCAGGAGAGGAGGAGGAGGAGGAAGTTCCCCCCATGTGCCCACCCAGCCCCCAGCACCCTTTAACCTACCACCAGTCCCCAGAACATCTACACTTGAGGGACAGGCTGGACTCCCAGATGTCTCCTTCTCCATCCCATTCTAGCAGCCCCAGCAAACCTTCAGACTTCTCAGACTCTGAGGAAGAGGATGATGAAGGGGAAGAGGAAGAGATAACAGTCTCTTAGATCACCTGCCTGCCCCCACCATCACATGGGGGCATTACAAAGATGTAAATAAAACAGAGTGATATAAATTGAAGAGGTGATGTCCCACCCAAACGTCCACATGCTTCTCCAGTGCAGGTTCTTTATCACATAGCTGCAAGACTTTCTGCTCATAGGCATTCCTTGTTCTTCACCCGATGCGGAGGTTTTCGTGTTCATAGCACCTGCTGACCTTTTCGTCTCTCTCCTTAACAATCAACATCTGCTCAGTTAGCTACCTTCTCCTGAAAACAGGCAACAGGCAGCTCCTCACTTTAGAGCAGGGGGGAAAGTATAGCCTGTTGGAAGGGAAATAACAAAAAAAACCCCACCCAATATAGACACTATGGCTATTTTTACTACTTTTCAAGTGAATTTCCAGCCACTATTAAGATGTCAAAACCCTGAAGACCGGTCCAATACAGCAACCCTTCCTTCCAAAAGTAAAGATCATTGAGGGACACAGAGCAACCTCTGCCTCCCTCCTCACAGCATGATACTTGGGCAGCAGACCCACTGAAATCCCTGGAATGACTTCTAAGGTATAATGTAAGTGTGCCTTGTGTAATGGAGAGCTTTTATATTTATATGATTTTTTTCATTTTAATTTATGCATCAATAGCCTACTAAAAGCACTGTCTAACCCACCTTTTTGCCCACAGGCCTGCGCATATTTTCCACTTTGCTTCTGCTATCCATGATGTGGACAGAGGAAAGTGGATACGCCTCTTTGATTTTTGACTGAACTTTGCTGTCTTTGCACAGCTTATATGAACTGTACACTATTTTGTACACTTACTCTGTATGGAAGTTTTATACCAAGGTTATTGTGAATGAATATAACGATGCCTCAACAAGATTTCGCTCTTTTTGTAATTAAATGACGGCTAAACTACAGACAAATGTAGCTGTTTAATTGTGTAACTTATAAAGAAACACTTTTATTTTGTATTTTACCATGTACAGACTTTAAATATGTATATATAATAAAGCAAATAATTGCCAAATACAAAGTAGATTTCAAAGTTTCATCATTCATTAACACTTCGTTCCTGTTTATGGATTGTGGTAGGTTGGTTTGGGGGCCAAACAGGGAAAAAACCAACTACATTTGATCAAAAATATAACGATGTAATAAGAATTTATCAGCTTCAGATTAAATAACCTTATAAGAATATCTACCTGCCTTTTAACTAGGGAGTGACCTGACCAAAGGACTATAGATTTGCTGCAGTTAAGGTGAACACAAGTTCTCCCTCCTTGCATTTAAATGCAACTTAATTTCTGCTGACGTTAGCCTGTGCTCCCCTCTGTCTCTCCTCCCTCCTTCCATTACTGCCCAGCTAGGTCAGAGGGTCGATGCTTGTCCTGCATCACCCCTGCTAAACTACTACAGCTTGTAGACTGTGAGCATGTAATGGGAACATTCTTATGGAGTAGAGAAACAGGATGGAGGAGATAAGGCTGAAGGGTTGTCTCAAGTCTAAGTCCAGTCAAGTATCACTTGTACAATGTGAGGTGAACCCATAACTATCTGCATATAATTTTTCAGATACAAATGCACACCACAGAAACATCCATTTTCTCCTTGCCTACAGATAAGAGTTCTGCTGACACAAAAGTGCCATTACAAAGTTTAGCTTAGTTCTTCTCCGCAGACTCTGACTAATGCCCACTACCCACAGCACACCAAACCAAAATCAATAAATGCAGCAGATGTCACCTGAACCCTCCACGAAGCTGCAGCAGCCACGAGGAAAGACATGAAAGGGAGAAGAGAATCATTCCAGCTGGGAGGGATCTACAACAATCATCTAGTCCAATGATCTGAACACTTCAGGGCTGACCAAAAGTCAAAGCAAGTTATGAAGGGCATTGTCCAAAAGCTGCCAGGCATGGGGCACCCACCAGCCCCCAGGAAGCCTGTCACAGGTCTTTAGCTACTTTCCAATCAGGTAATTGGACACACCTAAGCCGGGGCACCTCATCATTTTGATCATCTTCTACCTCTCCAACACCTTACAGCCATTAGTGATCAAGGAACATATTCCAGAGATAGAGCATAGAGAATGGATGAGGCACATGCAGTACTTATCCCACAAAACACAAGAAAGTGAAACAATGTAAGGGTTTGTGGTTTTTCTTGATTTTTTCTTTTTTTTTTAAAAAAAAGCTCTTCCAAAGGTGCAGCACATCTCCCAAGCACACCTAAAACATCACACAACTGCTTGTGAAACAGCAACCAGCACAATCTACCAGAGTGTTCATTCAGGGTTGAATAAAAGAGCTATTTACATGCATTATCAACACTTTATATACCAAAGGTTGTAGTTATCCATCTATTCACCCCCTAAGTGATAGAGCATCCCATAGCAATTATTTATAACTTAAACTTTACTAGTCCAGTAAGCAGAAGACTGTAGTTAAGTAACCTATGAAACCAAACCTAATTCAAAAGACAAATTTTGTCTTAAAATTTACAGGTTACTCCATCGACCACAGGTACCACCACACATAACACAATACTCAAGAAAGGAACACATTCAAAATGAGAACAGGTATTGCTTATACATAATCCCTCCTGATTCAGTGTTCAGAGACTACTAATCATCTTACTCCCTCTGATCTTTGCAGCTCATCTGCACTTGGAACGTTACCAAAAGTAATAATTTCAGACTACCTCTTTCAGCATCAGTGTTATTACATCTTATCCTGCTTGACATATAGCCCTACTAAATGAAAAATAACTTCGAATTGACACTTAACACGGAAAATCCCTTACCTGAAATGTGACATTTATCAATCTTACTCCTTTTTTTTTTTTTTACTTTTAGTATTTTTATTTTTTTTAATAGCTGAAAAAAAGAACAACGCATGGCCACCAAACACAACCATCTGAGTTTCAGGGATACCTTAATAAAAATATCAAAAAGATGCACTTTTTTACTTACTGCATATCACACCCATGGCTCGTAGGAAGAGAACCTCCCTCTTCAAGGCTTCTGTTTTATACTCCAGATGGTGAGGCCAGCCCTCACAGCTGCCATGCGCTGGCTCATGCAGGACAGCTGTGCCAGGAGAAGTCCTGCAGAAGCAGCTGAGCTCTTACGCTGACCGCCTGAGGAACCTGAAGGTGCACAAGTCTATGGGAGCTGATGGAATACATCTGTGGGTTAGTTGGCTTTCTGGGCTGCCAGCACACACTGCCGGCTCATGTCCAGCTTTTCATCCCCCAGTACCCCAAGTCCTTCTCCTCGGAGCTGTTCTCTATCCTCTCTCCACCCAGCCTGTCCTTGTGCTTGGGATTGCCCCGACCCAGGTGCAGGACCTTGCCCTTGGCCTTGTTGAACTCCATGAGGTTGGCAGGGTCCCACCTCTCCAGCCTGTCCAGGTCCCTCTGGATGCCATCCCTTCCCTCCAGCGTGTCAACCGCGCCACACAGCTGGGTGGCAGCAGCAAACTTGCTGAGGGTGCACTCAATGCCACCATCCATGTCACTAACGAAGATGTTAGACGGTACCAGTCCTAATACCGACCCCTGAGGAATGCTGCTTGTCACTGGTATCCACACAGACATGGGGCCATTGACCACAACACTCAATGCAGGCATCCAGCCAGTGCCTTATCCACCAAGCGGTCCATCCATCAAATCCATGCCTCTCCAATTTAGAAACAAGGATGTCATGTGGGACGGTGTTGAATGCTTTGCACAAGTCCACATAGATGACATCAGTTGCCCGTCCTCTATCCACCAGGGTCGTGATCCCATTGTAGAAGCCACCAAGTTAGTCAGGCACGATCTGCCTTGGTGAAGCCATGCTGGCTGTCACCAATCACCTCCGCATTCTCCATGTGCCTCAGCATGGCCAGGAGCGTCTGCTCCATGATCCTGCCAGGCACAGAGGTGAGACTGACTGGCTGGTAGTTTCCCGGGTCCTCTTTTTTTTTCTCTTTTTAAAGACTGGGGTTATGTTTCCCCTTTTCCAAGGGTTATCCTGGGCTATATCCAGAGAAATGTGGCCAGCAGGTAGAGGGAGGGGATTCTGCCCCTCTACTGTGCTCTGGTGAGACCCCACCTGGAGTGCTGCGTCCAGCTGTGGAGCCCTCAGCATCAGAAGGATATTGACCACTTGGAGCGAGTCCAGAGGAGGCCACGGAGATGCCCCGAGGGCTGGAGCCCCTCTGCTCTGGGGACAGGCTGAGAGTTGGGCTTGTTCAGCCGGGAGAAGAGAAGGCTCCGGGGAGACCTTATAGCACCTTCCAGTGCCTGAAGGGGCTACAAGGCAGCTGGGGGGGGCTTTTTACAAGGGCCTGTAGTGACAGGACAAGGGGGAACGGGTTTAAATTGAAAGTGGGGAGGTTTAGATTGGATATCAGGAAGAAGTTCTTCATGGAGAGGGTGTGGAGGCACTGGGACAGGTTGCCCAGAGAAGCTGTGGATGCCCCATCCCTGGAAGTGTCCAAGGCCAGGCTGGATGAGGCTTGGAGCAACCTGGTCTAGTGGAAGGTGTCCCTGCCCATGGCAGGGGGGTTGGAACTGGATGGTCTTTAAGGTCCCTTCCAACCCAAACCGTTCTGGGATTCTATGACTGTCAGAGGCATAAACTCATTCACTTAACCTCAAATGTGGAGAGATTCCAGGTGCTTTAGGAGGACCTGATGTCAATTTGGTTTGCTTCTGGTGTGTGTGACACTGGCAGTTCACTTGGGTGTATTTGTAAGAGCAAAATATTTCATAATTTGTTGTTAACATCATGTCAGATGCCATCTCTCCCTATTCCCTGAAACTAACTAATCTCGTTGAGGCTAATACAAAACTGCTGGCCCTGGAAACTATCTATTTATTTATTCATTTATTAATGTGGGTCTCTATGCTTTGAGAAAGGAGGAATAGTAATAAGAAGCCTTTCTTGCCTTCATGGAGATGGAAATATTTCCATACTGACTAGTAGCATCCACAGTTTTTGAAACTCTGGAACAAA